TTTTACTCGCTACAGGGTGTACTTTGAGTGTTTGTGACTCTGCAGACCGTTTACATGCAGAAAAACCTTCATAACACACAAGGGGACGGGTAATAACCGGAAAAGCATGACATGGGACCTTGAAAGTGTATCCAAAATACAAACACCCTTAACGACAAATATATCCCTATTGAAAGCCATTAAAATCACAATTGTTGCCAACAAGGCATTATATTATGAGGCCTTCAGTGTAGAGCCATTGCTTCAAAATGATAGTTTTTAACATTTTCCGAAATATTGAGCCATTTTCACTCGTTTTCACTCGTCTGTCTGTCTCTCAACTTTGCAATAAGAAAGAAAATGATTAGCATAAGTAGTGTGCAACGTCAACACTGCAGTAAATGATTTCCAGAATGATTAGTGTCCTGTTTGACTAAATTGTTTTTTTTATCCAGCCGACTGCCAACACTAACACAGAGGAACAGACAGATCTCTGTACTGCTGTCTGAATGCAACTAAAAGCAGAATTTCCAGGGTGAGAGTGTTTAACTCTCTCTGTACACACGGTGGTAATGCTGACATGTTGCTCTGGATCAAGACTTTTCTGTTTTTTTATCAATTAAATAAATATTGATATCATCATACACTGCATTGTAACTCTAAATGTGTTTTTCATACCTTTCCTAAAACCCCTTCAAACAGAGTTCCTTATTATCAAAGAGGCATTTCATTAAGAAGCATTTTCCATGGTTATTAATAATGGCATTTTTATATTGTGTAGGCACTATATTATTATTATTATTATTATTATTATTATTATATATTTCCATTATTATGCTTTTTAAGTTTTAGTATCATTTAGCATTTTTATCGACACTTTCACATATTTTGAAAATATTCTGTAAAGCTGGACAGCACTTTTTTTGCTTACATTTGTTATTATTATTATTATTGTATTATTATTATTGTATTATTATTATCAGTAGTAGTAGTAGTAGTAGTAGTAGTAGTAGTAGTAGTAGTAGTAGTAGTAGTAGTAGTAGTAGTAGTAGTAGTAGTAGTAGTAGTAGTAGTAGTAGTAGTAGTAGTAGTAGTAGTAGTAGTAGTAGTAGTAGTAGTAGTAGTAGTAGTAGTAGTAGTAGTAGTAGTAGTAGTAGTAGTAGTAGTAGTAGTAGTAGTAGTAGTAGTAGTAGTAGTAGTAGTAGTAGTAGTAGTAGTAGTAGTAGTAGTAGTAGTAGTAGTAGTCTTTGGGAATAACTAACACTGACCACTGTATTTCCTAATCTACAGACAAACTTTTAGAAGTCATTGATTGAATCTTAGAAAGCAGCAACATTAAAGAGAGGCTTTTACCCTGGAGAGCAGCAGGTACATCTCCAGCTCGGCCACCCGTCGGCCCAGACACGCCCGGATCCCGAAGCCGAACGGCACCGACCCGAACGGATGCTGCTTGGTCCTCTCATCGGATCCTCTCAGCCAGCGGTCGGGCAGGAAGGAGTGAGCGTCGGGGAAAATGCTCTCATCGTAGGACACAGCGTAGTGGCACAGGTGGAACAGCGTCTGGGAGAAATGTACAAAGTTACGTGATTTAATTACAAAATAATCAGTCACAGCTTCTGAGAAAAAACAAATATACAGTCACGAGTCAATGCTGCTGATTACAAAGCGTGACATCTGATTTATATTCTTTGAAATAAAAGTCTGACAGTGATTAGTGTTAAGTATTAAATAAAAACAATGGAGAAAAAATCAAATTAAGCTGAATTTGTTTTCAACATTTCAGGATTTGGCTCTTAAAAGTCACTCACGTTTTTGGGGAAGAGATGATCTCCGACCACAATCTCATTTTCAACGTTGAGTCGGGCGTTTCCTGGAACCACCGGATACAACCTGAGCAACAAAAGATATTTAAAGACATCACCTTATGTTGTCCCCATTTGTATGTTTTTCTTTTTAGCACTAGATGGCGCAATGGCACGGGGTATTTAGGTGACCTCACTGGCACAGGTGTGGGTTCTAGGACTGGGTTCTAGGACTGGGTTCTAGGACTGGGTTCTAGGACTGGGTTATAGGACTGGGTTCTAGGACTGGGTTCTAGGACTGGGTTCTAGGACTGGGAAAAGCAAAACAAATGTGACCGTGTAGCCGTGCACAAACCGTTTTTCTTTGGTAATAAAATGCTATTAAAAGCTAAAAACTACGTTGTGAATGGAGATTACACGCGTCCAATTAGTTTACCCAGTTTACCCAATCCCTCTGTGATATTGAGTGGCAATAGTCACCACATCTTAGAATAAAAAACTAAGATTTTCACTTCGCACTTCTGACAATGCAGCCAGAACAAACAAAGTGCTCACTGCAAGAACCGACAGCTCCTTTATATGGTATCCTATTAAAACAAATGACTCACCGTAGCGTCTCTCTGATGATAGCCTTCAGGTACGGCATGTGAGCGATGTCTTCGCTGGTAGGCACCTTGTCCCCGGGACACACACGGATCACTTCCTGGTAAAGCTGCTCCTGGATCTCTGGTATCTTTGCCAACTGGTACAGAGACCACGCGATAGTGTTGGAGGTCTGAAAAAGAGAGAGGAACACACACGCTTATCTTCTGTTTTTTACTTTGATGTTCAAGTTGCCCTCTCACTGAGCCCTGATGTTCAGTTTGAAAGCTGCCTGGGTTAGAAGTGGGCTTAATAAAGGTAAAGTAAAAGTTTAGTAGATATCTAGGTTACATAAAACTGGTGTTTCAAAATTCCAATGGCTATATTATTGTAAGGAATCGTAGAAAAAACTATTCATGTAAAAATTCAGATTGTTATTGTATTGTAATATTATGAATCATTTCACAACTATCAAACATTAAATGGTTTTTTTGTGAAGCATATTGTGTGGTTAGATACAAATGATCACAAAATCAGTTTTACAGTATTCATTTATGAACAAATTAACTTTTAAACTGGTGAATTTCAGAGAATTAGAAGGCAGCTTTCCTAAGTCTACCACTTTTTTAACAGGCACAATCCTGACCTTTCACAGGCAGTATTCACATTTTGTATAACTTGAAATGCACTTGAAGTGTAGTGAAGTTGTTATTCTTAAAGTCCCTGAGATTTGAAGAATACAAAAAAATATATATTATTTGAGAGAGAGAGAAGATTCACACCACTAATGAAGTCATAATTGAAGCCAACAAGAAAACGTAATGCAAGACAAATTATACTATACAATAACACACAGACACAGACGCACGCACGCACGCACGCACGCACGCACGCACGC